AAAGTGTCGTAGATGCGTGCGAGTACATCACGGCGGGCCTCGGCCCTATCTCATCGCAACTGTCTTTGTCTCTGTTTCTTGAATAATTGCCTCGCTTTTACCTACGTGTTTGAAGTACTGCCGGGGATGTACTTCCGGGTAAGCCTGCACTGCAAAATGAATCATTTCGTTGGCTCGGGGATGCCGATGCTCATAAGCGCCGGGCGCTATGATCAAGCTCATTGATGAGCCCAGCACGCGTCGATGCCGGCTAGTCCACGGAATTGTATAATGACGACGCAAGCGAGAGACAAGATTGTCGAAACCCCAGTTGACGACAACGTGTACTGTCGAAACGAATTCCTAGGAAAAATCTGCAAGTTGCGCGATCATAACGCCCAACTTCGTATTGCACTGTCCCTGCAGTGCTCATGGCCTGGCGATGATGCGGAAATGTTTCCTACTGGACTTGTTTCAATGGACTGTCGACGACCTGGGACGATGTATACAGGAAGCACTACGAGCTGCCGGGGTCTCCCAATACTTGGTGCAGATCCATTTACCGGAGTTGATGTAAACGCGCGAGACACAGCCCGCACAATGAAGGGCAGGAATTAAATGTCTCTGTTTCAGATTTTTGCATTCGGAGTGAGCACATCCGGAGGCAAAGTGCTGTCCTTCCTCGTCTGGGCCAAGCCAAACTCTCATCCCCCCACTGCGGCTTTGAGTATCATCTGTCCTCTGTACATCCGGAATATGCCTCCCAACACAGACCTTGTCAGCACAGACGTCGTCGGCACAGACGTTGTCGGCACAGACGTTGTCGGCACAGACGTTGTCGGCACAGCAAAGCGTGGACGCCCGTCGACATTTGGCCTGATACAATGTGGCCACTGGGACACTAGACAGCCTCTCTATAACGGGCTCCGCAACGACGTGAACTACACTCCAAGCCGCATGAACAAGTTTCTCAACAACGAGCTTTTCATATTCTTCGCCGTCTTTGGTTGGGACGACCCGGAACAAACCACCATACGTCTTCAGGACACGACTGAGGAGTCAATAAATGCACGTAAAGCGGAAATACGGCAGATCGAGGAGAAGGCGAAGAGTGTCAAAGACGCGAACGAACAGGATCTGGCGCGTGACACGCTGGTGAAGCGTGTTCGTACAGTAAGTGGACTTCACTTCTGCCTACTAGACTCCAGACATCGCTCATGCGTCGCAAAGAACATGGCGCAACGCTTTCTTTCAAAGTATACAGGTCCTAAGAAGAAGACCGCCGCATCGAAAGTCACCGTGTCCGCTGGCGAGCGCTCGGCTTCAGGCATCCAGAAGCTCCTCCAGACCTATATGGAAAAGCCAACGCTCCGACATCAATGCCAGGTTTGGGCGAGCTCGCATCCCCACTTCGAGGCCCAAGTAGATCAACGCCTGACGGAAGTAAGGCTGGAGAAGGGTGATCCTGATTACCCTCGCATTGGCCTATGGAACACCATGGCCAGCCAAGGCTACGCTGCGGCCGATGACTCGGAGAAGGAGAAAACGGTCAGGAAGGCGAAGGAGATCCTTGAGAAAGAGATGAAGGGCTGGGAGAAGACCACTACGCCGCCGAAGTCGGTGGCCGAAGCGATTGAGTGAGTGTCACGAGTAGTCGGTGTCCACAGGTACTCATCTTCACCCTATAGGTTCATGGAGGCGTCCAAATCCTTCTTAGAGGATCTCATGCAATTCTTCGCCGAGCGAAGCGGGGGCATGGCTGTCATGGTATTGGCTGGAGCAGGAAAAGTCTTGTTGTACGCATACTAAGTATTGTTGAATGGACGCTGAATCTGACACGCAGTAGGTCGCAAGGAACGTGTGACGTAGCAGGGATCCCCAAAGTGCTCTACGGTGACATCGCAGATGAGAAACCACTGTTGTTAGGACTAGCAGGACGGATTCACACTCAGGCGTGCCTGGTCAGCGGTACGTGGAGAGCTTCCAAAATTGACACTGCGGCTGACCGACGAGTTGAATCTCAGAATCGAAGTGGGGTGTGCGCCTGTCCGACGGGACTCCAGCGATAGCTCGTCCCGCGCAGAAGTTGGACCAAGGGATCGACGTGTCTTTGGAAGACCCGAAGAGCAAACCTATCACTTCATTTGGCCCCGCTGCTAGCGACGTCGCGCTTATGACACCACGTGATAGTTCTCAAGAACACCGTCCTGCCGACGTCCCCACCAACTTGCCTCCGGAGACGCAGATACCAGACGCAAGCGCCTTTTCGTCGTCGGATGGAGCGAAACACGTCGTCGTGTCGACGAACAAGGGAGGGCACGAGCTAGATTGGGATGACACCTCCAATGCGACCTCTAGTCCGAGGATCGAGACAGGTGTCGGCGACGTCGGTAGTTCTTCGAACTTCGGGAGTATGTGCACGGTCAGGATCGAACAGCATCCCGAGAACGATCTCATCGCGGGGGATCGGGCGATCGGCGCTTCTATGGCAACACACGACAATGTTCATGAACCCGACGACGACGTTAGACGTCCGCAGCCACGGCCAAGGCCCACAGTGCGAGGGAAGGCGACTCAGATCCCAGTGAATACCGCCGTGGACCAGCTCATGGAGACGCCTGCTGGGATCACGAGCGGGATCACAGCGCTGGAGCAGAGGGTTAGCGCAATGTCTCTGAAGGCAACAGTGTCGCAAGCGCAGAATTATCAGAAGCAGGATGACGCAGAACGGCCCGGCAAAGGGCAGGTCAACACCTTGGACAACACTCAAAACCAAAGGGCGGGCTCGCTTTCTCGGCTTGTCTCGCTTGGTCCGGCAACGAATCTGTTCGCATATCAATTAAGCGCTAGCAACATCGCGAGCCTAAACTTGAAGGTCAGCGTCGCCTCACAGTGAATGAAATGGTATCTGACTTCCGTTCAGGAGTACAAACAATGCTGCGCCCAGGATGGAAACACAATTGAAGGAAGGAAGAAATGGTTCGCCCAATGCGCGATGACCAACTTCTTCCTAAACGTCCCGAAAAAGTTGGAGCACAAAGTCGATCTTGCGCTTGCTTGCGCTGTGGTACGTGCATACATGAATCTCGAGCTGAGTGGTGAGGTGAGCATGATGAGTTGGGAGTGACGAATACGGACTTACTTTACTCAATAGGAAGACACAGAACTCGACCTCTCTAGGTACCAGGTCGGTCACAAAACGCAGCCAGAGTATGTGGAGGCGCTACAGGGAAGAAGCTTGACCAATATAACCCGAATGACATGGCACAAGAAGAGTGTACCAGGCCAAGCGCGCAAGGCTATGCAGCTCGACCAGAATATTGGCTCGCTTCTGGGGAATCAATGGGCCTGCCAGCAAGCTGACGTTCGTCGCAAGAGCGATGGTACGCTGTGCCTCAGAGCGGACTCGAGCATGGACTGGGGCAAGCGTCTTGCACCCGGAATCAGCGGCGTGCGGCTCCTCGTACTGACACTGCTTTGCTGGGGTTCGGAGATAGACATTCAGGCGGGGGATGAGCGAAGGCAGTGGAACGAGCTCGCTAAGGACTTTTCCGATGTCTTAAGCATACTCGTAGTTCAGGCAGCCCCTTATCGGGCACCGGAGGCAGAACTGGTGGGAGCAGGGGCCGATGCCGAGAAGAGGAAGAAGTGAGTGGCCTACTTAAGTGCGAAACGGAACCCAAGCTCAGCGAGTCACAGGAAGATGACAGAGAAAGCCGCCCAGATGGCGGCGGAGAGACGCTGAAGGAGAACGCAGTGGTACTACAGGGTGATGGTGCATTGCCCCAGAAAGCGCATAACATGGGAGATGGTCGGGTTACACATGTTGATAGTGGTTCGATGGTAGTCGCGGAGGGTTCTACTTGCGACGCGTACATTGAATGGAGATCAAGTCGCCCGTTGTCGTTGAAGTCGCGCTAGTCAAAGAAGGTCAGGGTGATCCGGCCATTGCCGCGGCGCCGACGCGTTCTCGCGCTCGAGCAA